AAATAAACAAAAACAACAAATCCCACTCTACACAAATCACAGCACCATAAAAAATCATTTAAATAGATTGGCAAAATGTACCTTTACAAAAAACTTTAAGATGCGCAAACGCAAATCCTAAGTTTATTAGTGCTGCCATCTACAGAAAACTAATAACACAAGGGATAGCGACTCTACTGCCATCTGTTGAATTTTTGTCGTATTCGATTCTATTAATCGATTGACGATTAACGACTTTGAAATCCAACTAGATTCTCATAAGAAATAATAATGTTTATTGGAATGAACTAAGTACTTAAATGTTTATTGGAAAATGTACCTATTAGTAGTTATAAAGTTGCAACAACAATAAAATATTGAGCAACATTTTATGTGCAAAGAACAGGTTCATACAAATATACAAAATATTAAAGTTACTACATTTAAGAATGAATAAATTTTTGATTCGTACATTTTATAACATAATCATTGTTTTAATTTTTTGATAATAATTTATAATAATTATTCATCAATTCAATAAGTATTGACAATTTAACTTAATTAACAAAGATATAAAAACCATTATTGTAAATCACGTAAATATCGAGCATAAACTAAATACTTGGATACTCTCTGTCAGCATTTTACTACAATCAGTAAAAATCAATAAATAAACATAAATAAAACACAAAATAACTTAAAATCTATGAACACACTAGACATCATACTTACAAGTTGAAATTAAGCTTCTAAAACATTTTGTTAACCCACCATGCAAACTTACTTTGCTTCCGCTACTCGACGCTAGATGGCGTTAGTGGCTGTCAAGTAAAAGCTATGAGAACTTTGCGAGAGGGTTGAATATTTTTCCAACTTGTTGTTTGTAAATTCGAATAGCATTGGACATTTGTTTGCATATAATGAAGTTTTATTCATATTATACCGTTTCAATTTACTGATACATTTTAAATATTAGATATTTGGATGAAAAATAAATCATTTTTATTCCAAAGGATTTTTTATTTCATGGCTTTTGTTCTAGCCTAAATCGTTATTTAAGTAATTTATTACAAATAGTTAGTCTTGTTTTTTTGCTTTTCAATTAAAACATAAACATTCCTCAACACTGTAAAATACTAAATATTACTTTGACCGCACCAAGATAAGAACTTAGTACATGAAAATCGCAATTGTGACCACGTGAAAAATATTTAACATTGCACAAAATTTTTAATAAAAAAAAATAAACCAGCAAACTTATATAATACACCAGCTGGTCAAGTCTATAAAAGGAGGTACTCCTTTTATACCTAAACAGACAATAAATTATTATGTTTTTGGCTTACTCACGTACTAATTATATTTATATGTCGCGGAGAACCTAACGGGTAACCGGGGCTCCGGCTCGACGTGCAGGAGAAGGAACGGGGTGGTTTTTAGTCAGTAAGAGTCTGACACTCCCTCCCGCCTCACCCAGGTGGGAGAGCAGCCATTCGATGATTTTCCCCCCTTAAAAAAATAAATAAATATAATTATATAGAGGTATATAAACGAAAACATAATAATTTATTTAGTATGTCTCACGGAAGTTACAATATAAACAGATAATATTTTTAACAAAATGAATCCTAAATTATAAACTGAACTTCTTAATTATGTAGTAAGAATATCAATTAACCAGTGAATCGCCTTTATCCTATTATAGAAGGGAGGCTTAAGATTGTAAAGGCATCTTTTATTTGATAAGATAAAAGAAGGATAAAAAATTGAACTCGTTGGTATAGGGTCATAGTCATGACTGTTTGACCACAGGGGATGGTCCATAAAGAACACATAACCTAATCACGCCTTTTATCTCTGAAGAGGTAAGCAGAGGTGCACATTAAGGCACTCAATGCCACTGCATAATGTAACACCCAATTTTCACTATTTATGTTATGAGTCCTATGTAATAGGGGGTGAGCTAATAGCTATATACCGGGCACAATTCCAGACTATGTGCTACTACTGTGATTTTTTGAAAAGCCGCATTGCCCGACCCGGGAGTCCTTGCCGCAATTGCGACCACTTGGTCAACGAGGCAACGAGGCAACAAGATCAAATATATATATAAAAAAACAACATTTGCTTTAAAGCTAAAGACCATTGTTCTATCTCTGCACCACTCAAAGGTGGTGGAAGAGAACTCTCCCATGGCATTAACCCCATCTTATACACAAGTACATTATGTGCATAAAACCTTTTAAAATACAACAAAAATTAAATGAATCCGTAATTACCTGATGCATACAGGAGATTTGCATGAAAATTTCCAAAAATACGAACCAACTCATTAGTTGGTTTGTATATTTGGAATTTTGTTCCTAAAGATCTTATGATATATATATATATTTTTAATTTAAACGTTGCCCCACACTAGGATTTTCTCCTGTATCGTGGGTGCGTTCACATGCACATGACACCCAGATCTGGAACAACGATCTGTGGATCACACAAAGAATTGTTCCGTGCGGGAACCGAACCCGCGACACTTTGCGCGGCAGCCAGTTGCCCAAACACCGCGCCAACCGTGCAGTGCATCAGTTATGTAGTGACAGCAGAATATTCTTATATATATCATTATCATCATCATCAGCTCATGATATTCCACTCCTGGCCTATGGGTTTCTTCTACATAAGCTTGCCAAAATGTCATAGGTTGCAGGCTAAACATAGCAGTTTAAAAGATTCTCGTCTATCAGAGAGCACTGCTATCCGATCTATGTAAATGTGTAGTTCCTTGTTTATCTTCCATAAAATTCGCGGTCAGAATGAGGATGATAACAAATATGTATAAATAATGTAGCGTCTGATTAGGAAGTCGAACCCAAGGACTACTAATCGTAGTTGATATGTATAACTACAAAAGGCTCTTTTCTGTCTCTAATTTTACAGTCAAATACTATCTATTTTGATACTGTCGTGATTTTTTTCTTACAAGGTGAATATTGTTTTATCTTTCAGAATAGTTCCATGCGGGAATCGAACCCATGAAAGTTTGCATAGTAATCGATCGGAGTTATCTGTTCTCCAAATATGCTACCGTAAGTGAGAGTGAAATAGGTTTCCACAGCTTGCTTCATGCTCAGTCATTGTTTGATAGACTCAGGAATCGAACCCAGCACGCAACCAAGAAAAGCAAAGCAAAGGTGGTAAAATATTAAGAGCAACGTTGACCACAACGTTGCTCTTAATATTTATTGTAGGGGTAAATTAAAAGACAAAAGATTGATTAACAAATCGTGGATATTTATTGAAATAAAAATAATAAAAATGAAAAATAATAAAAACAGTTCATCTTTCACGTAGTTACACAATAAAATTTATCTTAGTTCATTTTTTCTCTATTTTGTGTCCATTCGTCATCCTGTCCATTTCATTTTTAACAAAAAAATATGTGTTACCATGTTACATGTTAAAAAATGGAAAAATTAACCACAATAACATACATTGTCTTTGTTCTTTTTTCACATTTTTACAATCTAACATAATAATAATAATAATAATTTATCTAAAACTTTACTGACCACACGTGAAAATAAATGATTTAATTTAACATTTATTTATTTTTGGTTCGAATTTACAATTTATATTTATTAAATATTTTGAGCGAGAAACATGTTAGACATTGAATAAATGATTTTAACATTCCTAGTGTCCTTTATAAAATATTTTTACCGAGCAACCTTTTTGCGTTTTTTATTTATAATTAATTGGTTGTTAGGAAAAATATTTTTTAAATACAGAAGGTAATGCACGGATGGTTAGGTCTCGTTCACATGACATTAACAACTTTTTGAACAAGACGTTTTTGTATTGTCGTAACGTCATCTGAAGAAGACCTAAGCATGAAGGAGACAGATATGGACGACAAAATGTGTCTATTATAATTTACTTATATTTATCTAATATAAATTCTATCATAATTTACATTAAGTACGTATACTGAAAGATTTCACGCTTGGACTAATTTAGGTACGAATGAAATTCACGAAGAAATTATTTAAAAAATAAAACTGGAATATTGGTTTCAGTCTTAATAAAATAACTAGCTTCCACAAGAAATAATAATAGCACATTAACGAATATCGATTTCACAGTGATAATTTTTTAATTTAATAATTTAATCGCTAATTAAACATACAAGTACCTCATACGAATAACACCTACCATTAATCGATTCCAATTTCGCTTTCTACAATGCTTAAATAAATTATCGATTACAGGAAACTCACCGTTTTCTCACGAAATTTTGTTTTAATTCTTGAAATATTATCGTCTATAAATATGAACATCAATAGGTAGGTACTCGATTTACACAAATAAACTTACATCAAATATTTACACAAGTTTGTTTATCTAGGATAGGAAACATTTCGCTTATTATTGTACATGATACACTAAAATTACGAAACAGCTTACTCTTCAAACACATACTACATCAAACTATGAAGATCCTAGAAAATACTGGAAAGAATTCTAATTTAATTGACACTATACAGCTTAAGAACTAAATAGTAAGTATTTAAATCAACATAGCTAACTTTGGCATTGGTTTCCACATTTTTCTATAAATAAAAAACATGTCAAAACAAGATCGAGGGAACGTAACACAAAACCGCAGACGTACTTACAGCGTCGAGCAAACAAAAATGATAGAAAACTAACATCAACAATGCAACGGGAATCAACACTGTTCAGTACGAAGAAGATATGTTACTTACGATTACAGTAACTAAATTAATGCCCTTCGGTGCAAACTTTTGGGCTCATATTGCGTGCGTATAAACAATAATATCGCCATTATTCAATCCTTAAGACTAGAAATTGAACATAACTCGGCCTGGGTCCGGTCTACGCGAACGTTCATATCTTGCGTACTTTCTGAGGTAACGCGACGAAACACGTGACCGGAGTAGACCTTAGAAGATCTGGCTGGGCGGCGCGGGCGGCGGCAGGCGGAGCCCGCCCCACGGGTAGAGTCACGAAGCCTCGTCGCGGCACGCGTTAGAGTCATCGGATAGAGCTAAGGGAGCACCATTACTTTGATTCACAACACACTTTCGCATATGCTTTTCAAGCGTCGACGGCACGGAGAAGGGCATCTCGCAAAACCTGCACCGGTAAACGTCCTTGCCCAGTCGTCCGTGCGTCTTCATGTGCCTCGTGAGCTTGGAGCTCTGTGCGCACGCGTATGAGCACAGTTCACATTTGTACGGCTTCTCCCCCGTGTGGGATCGCCGGTGAACCGTTAAGTTTGAGCAGTTCTTAAAAACTTTCCCGCAAAACTCGCAGGTATCATTTCGTCGTCCCTCTTTCGATTTCAATAAAGGGTTCTGTAATAACCCGTTACCGCTGTTTTTGAGGCCATCAAATATATTTTCTGGTGGCCTCTGCGCATGCAACGTTGGTAGCCACCACCCCTCACCTCTATCCATGTCCAATTTTATGCGTTTAGACGCTTCAAAAGGATTTTCAAAAGGGTTGAATAGTGGATGAGGTTGAGGAGGCATCTTTGCAAATTCCTCTTTCAAACGCAACGCAGCGGTTGGTGGCATACCATTTGGTTTATCACTAGGAGGTCCGTTGTTATTGTCTCTATCTTTAGCTAGTTGCCACTTCAGAGAATTTCCTGATTCTTGTAAAGCTTGTTTAAAAGCTTCGCTGTATTGAGCAATATTGGATAGACCAAATTTGTCCATCAATTCTCCAACAACAGACGCACTAGGTGCATTATTTGGCATTATAGGAGTCTGTTTTCTGGTTGGAGCGGATGGCACACTGCTGTTTGAAACAGTTAAATCTTCTGCTTCTTCCACGTCATCTCCATCCTCATTTTCCTCCTCTTCCTCTCCATCCAACTCTTCGTCTTCTAATTCATCATCAGAATCGTCTTCTCCTGTATCACCACCAGATTCACCATCTTCCGTATTGGCATCAGGTGCTCTATGAATCTTCATATGTCGCTTTAATTTGGAGGCCTTTTCAAAAGCTTCATCACATTCTGTACATTTAAAAGGTTTCTCACCTGTGTGTGAGCGACGATGGACTATTAGGTTGCTTTCAAATCTAAATTTCTTACCACAGAATTCACAAGAATGTACTCCTTCATCTGTGTTACGTTTCACTGGTGGCGTTGACGTAGGTCGCTCTGTTGGCGGTGCGTCTGCCGCTAGAGGTTCAATTCGACGTTCGGGTGAAGTTGAACTGTGCGGCCTCGTAGCTTCGCGAGGCGCGTCCACCGTCCCGGGTCCGGCGCCCACCGGAGGAGTCTGTCCGACTCTGGAGGGCGACGGGGAAGCGAACGGAGGCGAATGCTTCCTGGGGCTAGGAGAGCTGGAATTGCCTGTGGCCGCCCCTGGACTGGTCGTACCGGCCAGTTGCCGCAAGCGCTGCGAGTAAAAATCCAGCTGGGGTTCAAGTGAAAGGGGTTGAGATACGGGTGGGGCTCTATCACGCCCCGATAATGAAGTAGGAACTACTGGTGGTCGGTCCGCCGGCGATGGAAATGTCTGGTGTGGTGGCAGTGAGTTTGCTGCCACGGCAGCAGCTGCCGCTGCTAAGTTGAGACCATGGTGACGGAACTGTTCTGATACTAGCTGTTCCACTCTAAATCGGTGATCGTGGTGATTTGGCCTTGCGAACAAAGGCGTAGGAGGAACTGATGGATGAGCCAGTGGTGGTAAGCTGCCTGGTAATGGCATTCTGAGTAAACTACCAACCCCAAACGGGGAGTGCATATCTGGAGGTGGTAGTAAAGGGTGATGGCGCATTGAAGGTGGTGGGAGTGGTGCGCCAGTGGATGAACAGCCTGAGCTTGACGAGGAAGTACTCGATGTGGAGTGGTTTTGCCGGCTAGGTTGCTGCTGGGGCATTGCCTCTACGTAGATCTTGACACCGTGCACGTGTTGCACGTGCTGCAGCAGTCTCCATGCGGAGTGCACGCGGGCTTTGCACGTCGAACACACATAGTTGCTAGGTTCTGTGGACAAGAGAGAAGTCGGTTAAAACACGTAACTCCAAGCTGATCGACGAAGATGGAAACGCTTGCCAATGTAAGATTTACAGCAATATTAACACGGGCAAAGTGTCTAGTAATAGCTCTCACATATCGTAGTGTTGGGCCTAGGGTGGGTGCGTGGCGTGCATGTTAAGCAGTCGGAGGTCCAAGGGTTCGTGGCGCCGCGGTGAGTGATCGCCGCTCCGTGTCTCGCGTGATTCATGCACCTCTAAAATCTTATGAAATATACGGGGTTGGGATCACGTACGCACGCGCGGGTTAAGACGGTTGATATTGAAATCTATGTATGTAACACTGGCTCGCTAAGGGAAAAATGAATAGAGGCTTTTTTTATTAAACGGAAGCTTAGTTGCCTTCATTTGAATATGGTCGATATATGAGCGGAGCTTACGGTTCGAGATCGAGATCTCTGTAATTGTGGTTTTTTATACAATTTTATAGATTCAAAATGTATCTTTAAGCGAGTATATATTTTTCTATTTGTTCTATTTAATTGATGACCTAAAGCTTTAGGACAATCCCTAAATAACCTAATTCATTGGTTCCGCCCGATGGTTTAGGAGATGCGGTCAAGGTGCGTCCAGCCCGCCTCGCTGTGACAGTAATTTGATTGCTCATTGTTAACCCGAGACACATTTTATTGTAGAGACAATCACGTCTCAGCGATCATCTAGTGATGTACTTACTTACCAACAAACAACGATCGATAGAAAAATTGCTATTTTTTACTTAAGAAAAAAATCCTTTTACTACATTTATACATATTATCGCTTCTGTATTTGTACTAATATCAAAATTGAGATACCATGTACTTTATAGGCAATAAAATTAAATCGTCGGTACTCGCAACCAATCACGTCATCCTTATCATACTAATCTATAAATACTGTGAATTATCAGAAACATTGCACCTAGTTAGCCTCAACCTCAACTGAATTGGTGCGACACAGATGATAATATGACGTGTAATAAAGTCGATTGAAAAATATCGATATCGACTTAGCGCTTCACTAGCGCGGTGGGCGCGGCAGATAAGCGATCTTCACTGTTAAGACGATTATTGAAATGTAACGGTCAGATTGTGACCGACCGGAAAGATGACACATACATGCTGTTCGTTTTTTAATCATAACATAAAAAAATTAAACTTAACTTTATTTTTTATGTTTCAACTTGTTGGCAAACGAAGATAGCATAAGACTAGCCTGAAATAGTTTTTTTGACGTTAAAGTATTTATGTGTGTAGCAGGATATTATATGGTTACAGTTTCAACAACTGAATAAGTTTCCAAAAAACTATAACACGAACCGAAAATGACAACTTCTATTAGAATATAAAACTTATTGTTTTGAGATGAGGTCAAGCTATCAAAATATCAAAGATCTTGTTAAACCATACATAACCATCTATTTAATTTTCATCTATATATTACCAGTTTCTAATACACATCTATATAACTTCATACATTTCAAACCAAACAATATATAACCTTAAAGCATCTTCGCGGGAGAATCTTACTATCATCCTGTATAAAGATTTATCATGATATCAATATTGTGACCTTTTTGTGCGGAGGTACCGACCATTGTTCATTGTGTTGAGTTTTGGACATCATACGGTACTGGACAGATAGAACGAACATGTACAAAATTGTTTTTAAATTATCAAAAAACATAATTTTGTTTATTATTACTCTTACTCGTTTCACGTGGAACTTGACTAGTTTCGAGCCATGCTAGAGGCTCATATTCATGAGTAGCATTCCGGCGACTATCGCGCTGCCACTGGCAGTCAATAGCAGCGCGACAGTCGCACCAAACTTTTATTATAAACATAATTTTAGTTAAACGCCAAAATACTGTCAAAAGCATTTAAGCAACCATTAACTTATTTGAAAACTAGCTTCTGCCCGCGACTTCGTACGCGTAATCCCATTTTTTCCCGTCCCCGTTCGTGATTTTCGGTAAAAAGTAAAAAAAAATTGGTTAAAAAGTATCCTATGTCGGTCTCCTGGCTCTAAGCTACCTCCCTACCAATTTTCAGCCAAATCTATTCTGCCATTCTTGAGTTATAAGTGGTGTAACTAACACGACTTTCTTTTATATAGGTATAGATAACTGAGAAAAAATCTAGTTTTAAGCAATTTCACGTTGGTAAGTTAAAACAAGGGCTCATTTATTTATTGCATTGTAGAGCTACGTTAAAGCATATACAAGTAGTTACAGGTTGACAGAAATTAAGACCAAAGAGTCTTGTTAACTTCAATACCTATTGTTTTTAAATAAATATAGGTACATAAGCATCTATTTAATGTTAAGAAAAACGAGATGAATCCACTTCTAGACTAACAAGACTAGATTAGAACATAATTGAGTTCACTAGACTAGACGTTACCTTTATTTTATCAACTAGAACATATTAACATACTTCATTACTTAATTGCACCCAATTTCCCTAAACCAGATCTCCTTGACCATTCAAAAAAAGTACCGGAATGACTAATAATATCTAATACCGATAAAAGATAATAGGACAATCTTACCGGTTTAATCTTCTAACAAATAATCTAATCGTCAATATTTTTGCTAACCGTACGATAAGCTTCAAAATAATCTTGGTAAGGTCAGCATAAGTATCGAGACCGATCTTTAGAATCGATTGATAAAGGATTACGATTAGTCGGTTATAATTTTCAATGGTTGGTTGATAACCATCTGTGGTCATGTGTGGTTGGTATAAGTGTGGTTGAGTGTGGGTGTGTGGTCGGATTAAACGGTGTATGATGGTTTGCTATGATATCATGTGTGAGTACCGAGAACTACCATAAAGATCGCCAGCTGTGAATTGTACGACAATTGAAATGATGTGTTGGTTTTAAAACTAGTTTTTTAAGTTCCACATCATCTATCTATATATATATAATTCAAGGGTGATTGACTGACTGACTGACTGACATAGTGATCTATCAACGCACAGCCCAAACCGCTGGACAGATTGGGCTAAAATTTGGCATACAGATAGATGTTATGACGTAGGCATCCGCTAAGAAAGGATTTTGATAATTTCCATCCCCAAGGGGGTAAAAAAGGGGATGAAAGTTTGTATGAAACTTTGTCAGTTTTAAACCGATCGGGTTGAAATTTGGCATGCAGATAAATGTTATGACGTAAGCATCCACTGTTAAAGGATTTTGATAATTTCCACCCCCAAGGGGGTAAAATAGGGGATGAAAGTTTGTATGAGACTTTGTCAGTTTTAAACCGATCGGGTTGATATTTGGCATACATATAGATGTTATGACGTAAGCATCCGCTTTGAAAGGATTTTGATAATTTCCACCCCCAAGGGGGTAAAATAGGGGATGAAAGTTTGTATGAGACTTTGTCAGTTTTAAATCAATCGGATTGAAATTTGACATGCAGATAGATGTTATCACATAGGCATCCGCTAAGAAAGGATTTTGATCATTTCCAACCCTAAGGGGGTAAAATAGGGGGTGAAAGTTTATATTATGAAGCTTTGTCAGTTTTACACCGATGCAGATGAAATTCGGCATGCAGGTAGATGTTATGACGTAGGCATCCCCAAGTAAGGATTTTGATTATTTCCACCTCCAATGGGGTAATGTAGGGGATGAACGTTTGTATGAAGCTTTGTCATTCTTACACCGATCGGGTTGAAATTCGGCGTGCAGATGGATATTATGACGTAAACGTCCCTTTAGAAAGGTTTTTGAACATTCTCACCCCAAAGTATGATCAAAAAAAAATGTTTATTTCATTATTACACGTTAATACAAAGTTACACAGTTGGTGGCGTCCCCTTTTAAGCATATAAATGCCTGTACCAGGAGGCGCCGCTCTTTTATATCATACAAGTGTAATACGTTACAATAGTTAAAATTAATAATTGAATGATACTTTGCCAGTTTTAAATTGATCGGGCTGAGACTTTGCATGCATAAATTTACTATGACATAGGTATCTCCTTAGAAAGGATTTTGATAAATTCCACCCCTAAGGGGATAAAATAGGGAATGAGAGTTTGTATAAATCTTCTTAGCCATTGAATTTAGAATCATTGAATCTTTTTGAATTACATTCGGTAAAACGATGATTTGGGACCTGGGTAACGTTTGATAGTTTTTATCACAGATGTCCCACGGGAACGGGAACTATGCGTCAATGCCCCGGGACTGTCTAACTCTTAACCACTGAACTTATTTTAGAGAGATTCGGTACAACAATAGTCGATAGAATAGTTTTTATTACTCAAACCTTACGTGATCGGGCACTGTACTGGTAAGATCCCTGCGGGATTATTTATTTATTGAAACTACGATAAATCATTTCAAAATAGGTAAATCTTACTTGGGCACTGAATTGATTCTGATTAATTCTGTCAGAAGTCATTAATCTACGCGGACGAAGTCGCGGGCAACAGCTAGTTATAAAATATATCGATAAGTTACAATAAATGACTAATCATTTGAGTGCCTAATGCCCAAATACTGAAAAACCACTTAATAAAGTCGCGGTTAAGTATAGTTCTTTTCATTTTTTATACCACGACAGTGGTAAATAAAGCACAGATCCACCTGATGGTAAGCGGTTACCGTGGCCTATGTACCTTACGTATACATGGGGCATTACACTAATTTTTTTTTTGTACAATGACAGAGATGGCAGGATATTTAAGTACCATGTAAAATTCAGTAGCCTTCCAATATTCAGACGTATATAAACTTTTGCAATGGAAATGAATTCATAATAAAATTTTACCCAAACAAGGAAACACAATCTATTACTCGACGACAAGATTATAAATCCCAACGACTAATCTAAAAAGGTCCGTATTACTAATTAATCCGCAACTATCGCTTTAAAAAATATCAATACAATTCAGAGTCATCCGGAAAACGCACCGGTTATCCGGCCAGGAGAAAAAATGTGTAACGAGC